CTTGGCAAATGGGACTGCCCCTTTGAAATGCGCTGCAGTCAAGGTGTTAAAGAAAAACTTGGTTTTAGCTTCAGCATATTTCGCTGAGAAATCCTACAAGTCGATATAGCTGGTGTAGGAGGTAGAGTATAGTTGAGGTTGTCAGTCCATACCTAAATGTAAATGTGTGGGGCTTTGCCACAAATTTGAAACCTTTCTCCCAGACATGACTCACGAATTCTTCCCTTTCAACATTCTTCATTTTGATTTTCACTTTCAAAAGCCCCAAAGAAATCTCTGAAACCACGATAAAAGGGGTTCTAAAGTTTGAGATTGTTGAAATTTGTCCTTGAACAAGGCAATTTTATCGTATCCCATCTGCCATACAAAATATCAGCTGTAGGTTCCCGATATACTCACAGAATTGTTGGGTGCTCCTGTGTCATTCTTATGTGTACCTATTGTAGGAGATCGGGGAGAAAAGTCAATACAAGCATTTAAACTAACAGGAAATTGCCACAATTCCAGTTGGATTTGGTTCATTTGAACATCAACCACATTTTGTTCTCCCATTTTAGATTCTGGCAGAGTCGAATCCTTCCACAGATAACCTGAAAGGATACAAGCTTTAGCAAAACATCAACAGATCTGTACATTTTGCTAAATGGTAACAGGTGTTCAAGTTGGATCAATACATTACCGTGTCACAAAGCAGAGTCTAGAAAAAGCTTAGTTACTGCTTCAGATCACGAACATACTGATGCCATAGTCCATGACTCTCACACTTTCTACAGCTACGGTGCCCAAATGCCGCCCTTTATTGATCAGAAATTGCATGTTTATTATCATCCAGTGCGACCATATTCCCACGTGCCGGACACCATCAACATTGTCTGCGTCATTCATTAGAGATGCAAACAAAACTAGGAGCTGTAACCAAAGACACAAACTCAGCTCTCTTCATCATTCCTGTCCAACATTCCTGAAGGCATTCAAAGACAATGTGAAAAATAGGGAGATCAAAAAATTAACTACTTACATGTATCTCAAATCGCTTGAACCAAAAACACTACAGTTTGGGTTTTGGAATTTTTTTTACTTTGCCAAACAAATTCAGGCAAATGCAAAGAAATCTTAAAGACTGACCCCGGCAAAACTTTGATTTGGCTCAGAATGACCAAGATGTACATGTAGGTCTTGAGCACTCATAATGTGCAGCTGCACTATCACATTTTTGAACCAGCTATTGGAAATTTTTCCTTTGTGTGAAGTTCAAAAGTAGACTTGCATTGTGCACTCTGAAAGATTTACCTGAGCCTGGTTTGGCCGTCGATGCTAGGTGATCCCCATGATCTTTATGGCCCTTATCGGTTCCCTCTGGCTTCTTCCCATCAGTCGGAACAGCCTGGTGGTCACTTAATGGAGCCCTAGTGGTGACCACTGATTTGACAGGAGCTGCGGCAGTTTTGCGTACGGCCGGTTCGTTGAGTTTCTTTGGCGTCGTGACTGGCTTTTGTTTTGGAGTTGGAATCTTTGGTTGTGAAGTTGTTGCTTTCGTGGTCCATCTCGTTGTCAGAACTGATGCCCGTGTCTGGACAGGTGGAGTTGGGGTGAGGGTGGTAGTGACTTGGGCCTCTGCAGTTGCTGAATTTACTTCATCCCTCTTTTCAGGGGCCGCGGTATCTGGTGGACTAGTCGGTGTCCTTGTTGGTGACTGCGTGGCATGTGTTGCTGACTGCTGGCTGATCTTTTGCTTGGAAGAAGTGGTTACCTTGAGAGTTGTTGGCGACACAGAAGGGTCCGGTTTCTTCGGACTCACTGTGGGTTTTTTTGTGGGCTCAGTTGTGGTCCGTAGTGGCAACACCGGACTTACAGTTGTAACAGACCTAGTAGAATCTGTGGAAGATTTTGATGTTGGCGGCAACTCTGTGGTGACCCCTGCATCAACCGTTGTCAACCCATCGAGTGCTAATGTCACCTTGGCCTCATTAACACTTTTGGATCCTGCGTCTGGAGTCGGTTTTGTCACTGTTGAAGCATTACAGAGAATGAGACAAAGAATCCACAATGATAATGATAGAGCGTTTGGCTTCATTTTGGCTGCCAACTTCAAGTTGTTTCTCATTCAGAAAGCTGAATTCCAGGTAAGGAGGTGGTATTTCCCATCAATATTTGTGGTTCTGCAAAAACCAACAACATACATGTATGAATAAACATTGACTTGTCAATAGGACACATTAAGGTCCCTAAACTTGAGAAAATGCAGGACAATTTAAAGTGCTTGTCTATGAAACTGTGCAAAAGTATGTTAACTCTGATGTTTATAGGATTCAACGATTCACAAAAGAAATACGACTACTGAAAATTTTCTTCCGCTTTAACCAAACATTACAAGTGCTTACTTAAACAAAAATGCTAATCCTTACTCCAGGATTCTGTGGTAATGTAAGAGAACTGACACCTCTTCAACTGCCCAAAATGGTGAGAATTTCACTTTTTTTCTCCATGGGCCTCCACAAAAAAGTACCAATCAGAGGGAACAACTGATCTTTGGCTTTTTTTAAGTCCCTGTGGGCAAAGGTTCTATAAACGAACATCCCACAGATGGGAACAAACATGACCGATTTCCCTTGCACATTAGATAGTAAACCTTTAGCTGGGCCTGGAAAACCGAGTTTTTTTTCCTTTCGGGAGGACACAAACTTGGTATAGACAACTGCTCGCAGAGACAGCCATATCGCGCAAAGGCATCTGGGGAACTAATTCACTGAGCATGACACAGCAGTGCACAGCGATGAATAAAAAGACCCAAGTTGGTTTGATTCTGTGATTGGGGAGGGTCTATTGTTTAACAAATATCTACCTTGCTGGATGCTCATGTTGATTGCAAAGTCGCTTAGTACACCACCAGAAAAACCTTTCAGCTATATCTGCTCTAACAACCAAGTTAACAAAATCTGGAATGTTCAGCATTATCAGGACAGCACATGTGAGCCCCCGAATACTTACAAAACCCCACCAAAGTTAGGAGAAAAACATGTTCTTTAAATTATATAAAGACTTACATGTACGCCCAATTTGAGGACAATATTGTCTGAAGTGATTTAGACTCAGACAGAGTTTTGCCAAGGAGGTAGCGATTCTGTGTTTTTAAACGTGATGCATTGTTCTCACTTTTCCTTCAGTTTTGACATGAGAGTTTAATTTCTGCAAATTTTCATTTGCGAGTTTTACACCAGGATAAGAGTTTCCTGCCAGATAGTGCCAGACTTGATGACTGCGGAGCATTTTGTAGGACAAGACATTGTCTCTTATTAGTTTTGAATCAAAAAGTGGTTTGGGGGTCCAAATCTGAATGCTTATTTTCATGAAAAAATTTTTTTCAAAGAAGTTGAGGAAGTTAGTCAAATTGACTTTGGGGAAGTCTGAAGCCTCCAATAGCCGGTGTTGCAACAAACTGGAGTAATTTTCACATCACACTACTGTCGCAAAGGACTTTTGTGAAGTGTGTCAAATTAATGGTGCCTGTACAGTGTGTTTCAAGGCAGGGCACACTGTAATGTAATATGTTATTCCAACACACTAGCAACCCCAACAAAGTTAAAATAATTATTCAAAATTGACAGGAGGCAGGCTCCTGGACTGAAAATGAAAAGAAAAGCTCTGTTTGTGTGTGCATTACATGTTGCAGCTCTTTTTGTTCTGGACTAATTTGCTTCTTAAGGATGACACAGAGGGAAAGATGCAGATATTGATGATGTAACTGGAAAGATGCATGTTTAGTTTAAACCTTCGAAACATTTAGTAGACTAGATCCTGACTAAAGTACCCCCAGAACTGTGGGGTTCTTCATCAGCTGCCTTCCCAAAAGTGGGGCGGACAACAAACCCTGCAGTTCTGGGGGTAAATTAAAAGCCCATAACTCTGCCCNAACCTACAACTACAAGTACATTGTATGCAGGCGTTTGTCAACTTTGGCACCCCCGTTTTATCATTTGTATAAAAGAAGTTTACCTGCAAAAGACTACAACCTTGGATAATGTTCTTTTCATGATGCTGACCCCATTTTTTAAAATTTTGATCAATATATTTGAAGGAAATGCGACTTTCTTACTTGATTTTCCGACACCGACACAATGGACCGTGATGTTGCCGAGGTTGTTACCCCAGAATTACCCTCATACATGTCATAACTCAAAACACTCTTTCCACAAAATTAATCCTGCAGTTCTTCAGCATGGAGACAGCATAATAAGTTTTCATTCTCTTATCAGCAAAATTTTGAAAAATAAAAAAAAGTGTTTTGAGTGTGGTTAAGCGTACGTACATCATGTATCGGGATCAGGTCAACTCGGACCCAAACCAACTTGGACCCATTCCCACTCGGACCCATGCCAACTCGGACCCAGGACCAACTCGGACCCATGTCAATTCGGACCCACGCCATTTCGGACCCACCTTGAGTCAACTCGGACCCATTCAGTCTTATGGTTGCATTACACCAAATACGCTCCCGTAGACCGAAATAGTGCCGACTCTTGAACCTCGCGAAGAGGTTGGCCTTCATTTTTTTCACTGGAAATTCAAGATTATGGCCAGATTGATCACTTTTCGTTTCAATTTTATGAACTTTTTTATTCACCTTTTCCCGAAGATAACCCCCTAATAGTAGTAAAACTATGCGCTCATATGGATGTAGCTGCCTGCCTCTATCCAAAATAGGCCCGCATTGTGGGGCTTTTTATGAAAGAAATACTCTGAACCGGAAACTATCAATCCAAAATTCGAGATTGATATAAATAATTCTATGATCCCTCGTGATTATGGCACGTCTTATTGCAGAAAATAAGAAACCATGGGATCACAAAATATTAATAATGAGCTCGCGAGCAGACATACAACGCTTTAAAACCGTCTCCAAGTTTAAGCCAATAAGAAATATTCCACATTTTTATTTTAAAATGATTTGATTTGTGTTGTTCAAAATTACCAACCTATTTGAGTTATTAGAAGAGTCAGTTTAGGCCTGAATGGATGAATTCCTCCATCTGCCTAAATTTTGCCGGTATTCGGGGGGGGGGCAAGGTGGAGGTGTAAGACTTGCCAGGCCAAAATAATTTGAAAAGTGAGGTGGGGGATAACACCATGAGACACTATAAAAGGTCAATGTTCGTGATATTGATGTATATCTGCAGTATGTGTTGTACGCATGCAGCATCTCTTATGTACATCAGAAGGGCCTATCTGTGGCTTTTTATTGCAACAAAAACTTTGGGGCTGTTTGGTGAAAGTTCATTCGATTCCTGCTGGTGATCTGGAGTGCCAAAAAAACTTCGGAGAAAGGGCGTCAATGACATGGTACTGTCAATCACACTCCAAAAGCTGCTCCCATTGGTTGTCCCAAGCTCCCATCCCCCGATCATAGGGTTTCAAGAATGGAAGGTGACAAAATCAGTGTTTGTGGTTAATCACGCCGGTACCTCAGAAGCTAATACCTGATTAAGATTCCAGATTACAAGCAGCAAATAAGACATCAAAGGAAATGTGCCTCCATAAAAATATGACGCTCGTCGGTTAATCATCACTTGTTCCAAGACATCACTGATATCAAATCTAGTCCTGTACGGTTTTAACCACTATGCCTGTTCAAACTCGAAACGGAAAAATTCTGGGAAGCCTGTGCCACTGTTTCCATGCATAATGTGTAGAGAGGACGTTAAATCTAGGCAGCATGCAGTGCAAAAGTGTCATTTACCAAATGCTAAAATGTAAAAGTGGACAAAATAAACATTTTCAACAAGTTAATCACACTCCTGGGGTTGGGTCCGAGTTGACTCAGGGTGGGTCCGAGTTGGTATTGGGTCCGAGTTGGTTGTGGGTCCGAGTTGGTCGTGGGTCCGGGTTAGTNACTCTACAACTACAAGTACATGTACATTGTATGCAGGCGTTTGTCAACTTTGGCACCCCCGTTTTATCATTTGTATAAAAGAAGTTGACCTGCAAAAGACTACAACCTTGGATAATGTTCTTTTCATGATGCTGACCCCATTTTTTAAAATTTTGATCAATATATTTGAAGGAAATGCGACTTTCTTACTTGATTTTCCGACACCGACACAATGGACCGTGATGTTGCCGAGGTTGTTACCCCAGAATTACCCTCATACATGTACATGTCATAACTCAAACCCTCTTTCCACAAAATTAATCCTGCAGTTCTTCAGCATGGAGACAGCATAATAAGTTTCCATTCTCTTATCAGCAAAATTTTGAAAAATAAAAAAGTGTTTTGAGTGTGGTTAGGCGTACGTACATCATGTACCGATACCACTTTAAGTTCATGCACATGTACATCATTACATTATCAAACATGTCAAAACATGTTGAAACTTTGGACTAGGGCCAAAGCCTACTGCGATGCGCTCGTACACTTACAATTTTAACATGTTTAAACTTCACATGAGCTAACGACTTCTTGAAGAGGCCATAGCTTTTAGGCCTACCACAAAACACGCACAAAATGTTCTAGGCCCAGACCTACCTGATTTCGCAAGCTAGCCTCCAACTTATGATAATGATAACTAGTCCAACACTTTCAAGTACATGTACAGTACATGTACATCGACTGCGCCCACGTAGCATTTAACTGGTACTGCTGCTGTGTAAACGAAGATGACAAGAACATCGAACGCCTAACACCAGCGAAAAAAACAAAATGGCAGCTCACTTGGGTGTCAGAGGTGAACAGAACAGCAGCGATTTCGAGGCTGAAAAGTACCCTAGAGAAATCGCCAACAATCTTCGAGCTTTCCAAGATTCATTAACTGAAGTGGAGAAAGCCTTAGCTCCATTAAAAAAGGCTTCCCTAGGGGACGTTCACAACAAGGTATACAGCTTTTGTGTAAAGCCTAGGTGTAGATTCCTGACTCGACTAGGAGTAGGACAAGCAAGGGACCTTACAGTTTGCATTGCATTATGGGTTTGAATGACAAACACACAATGCATTTTAAGCACAACCCAATCTATCTGTTTCGATTTTATTTCATACTCCAATTCAAGCCATCCCCTTCTGACACAGTGTCACATTATTGATTTGGGACAAAGATATTCACAAACTTTGAAGTAAATTAAAGCTTGGCAGAAAAGGAAAATTTGGAGAATCCCATCCAACAACACCACTTTTTGTCATAGACCGTGCCTTGACTAAGATCGTGAATATTAATGTTCTATTGTCCAATCAAAATTATGACTTGAGTTGTAGCTCATGCATCCTCCCCCTGTATGACAACTGTTGACCAGTTGCGTTCATTTTCAGCCTGTAGTGTAGGGTGACTGATACCCTTAAAAAAAGACAAGGGTGATTTCTTCTTGCAAACATTTGAAAAGTTATTTGAAAATGTTTCTTGTTAGTTGTATAATCTGATAATGTGCATGCATTTGTGAGTTGATGAATAGATACGTAAAAAATATTAAGTTGAAAAAAGGTAAATTGATTTCTGACTGGTTCACTTCCTCCATAGCGTTGTGTTAGCTCTACTAAGTGGAACGTTGGTATTCCTCTTTTTGGATTTTGGACGGGATCGTCATACTTACGCTCTATGCCTGTACATATAGTAAGGTTGAAACAGTTCTCAAAAATTTCAAAGACTCAACAAAAATACCTCTATTACCACTTACTGGCTTCCGTAAATGCCAACGTCAAATGGTTGGGGCTTCATTGATATTTCTGACTTCATAATCTGTCAAAATCCACTCGTTTTCGCTCGACTCATGCACAGCACTCGAACTTTTCGCTGCCTGCACCGTTCAAATGCGCGTATCGAGATTTAGAATACGCAATAACTCCATGGGCGAAACATGATCCTCCCAGAAACATTCATGAGTGGCCTATACGTGGTCTGGGCACAAGACTTGTTAATCGTGACCATTGGGAGTGCTACCAACAACTGTTTCCTCTATGGGCAAACATGGTCCCCAAACAAAACTGCAGGAGAGGCCAAAATGTTGTCGGGGCACAAGACGTATTGACCAAGAAACCGTATAGGCCACTCATGCAGTAAAATATCTTCAAAAGTGTACCCCAAAGATTTGTATTCAGTTTTATTTTAAGCCATGAACAAAACATGATATTCTCTGTACAAATTGAACGAAGGGCTTTCCCATTACTGATATGCCAGACACATATGCAATAAACAGTCTATGACCAAGAGAACCCCCATTTCATTTGTGTGCAAACAGCCCTGTGCATCAAATGCCTATTTTTAAATATTTTTCTCAAAAACACATTTTTAAAAATAAAACCTCCCAGGACTAGGGGCCTGTCAGGCACATCTTCTGATAATATCTTGAATTTCAGTGTTAAAAAGTGGATTCCAATCGAAGTGAATCTGCCTGTCGCGATTCTTGAGTGTAAATAAATAAGCATAAGTGAATAAATAAGGGCACAAAAAAAGTTCAAACTTGACGCATCTGATTACCGGCTGTGGTATAATTCACAGAGTGTTATCAAAATACAAATAGTCGCATCATGATATGGAACTTCTTTTGGCTCAAATACTTGAACATGTACATGCAATGTAGTCTCACAAGATAACAGTAAACAGCTTTTGTGTAAAGCCAGCATAAACTTAACTGAACTCCCTTTGTAATACTTGGCATTATGAATGGATTTGTACAAAAAAGGACTTTTTTGAGAGTGTGAATTCTAGTTTGCAATGTGTACATGTACATGCACAAGTCGTTTTAATTTTCACATTTCTGTAACAGCTCCAAACGCTGGATCGGGCCAAACTGGAGTTAGTGTCAGCCTACGCCATCAACTCAATGTTCTGGAGTAAGTTCACTTACAAATACTTATCGGAGAAGATCCATATACTTGCTTGTTGGCTAGAAGAACCTGCAAAAGCCTCAAAAACATTTTTGTAGATTGTGAAGGATTTGGGAAGGATGGATTTTAAGCGTCAGACAGGAGACCATCAGACAGATGATTTGGCCTTTGATGTGAAGCCCTCATTAACCTCATAGACCATTTTTATTTTGTGTTCATGTATCATTACAGTGTACCTGTGCACGCAAGGAGTTAATCCACGAGACCACCCAATCAAACATGAACTGGTAAACTGACCTTTTTTACATTTGTTATCAGTCAAGAAAGATCGAAATGTCGCATAAAATTTAGCGTTCTGTAAAAGTTGCATTTCATTCGTTATATTGACATTCATTTGTTATTTGCCTCGTATTTTCAGGGGCGGATACAGAAGTACATGAACAGAGTGAAAGAAATTATGGACAAAGAAAATGGTGAGTGTGTCCCGATCAACATTTGTTCTTCAAAATGTATCCCAACCAATGCTTCATCGCGCTAACAGCCAGCCTCCGGTCATGTTGGTGTTGATATCAACAGTAACATTCATATAAGTGGCTTGCTGTATCTGCTTAGACCGGTAGTACCCCTTCACCAGCAAAGGCTGCTGAGAGATATTTCAATTCAGCACATGGGGCACCCGCAAAGACCATACATTTCAACAGATCTAGCACGTGCATGCTGGGAGCATCTCTCAATGACAGGTGCCCATGATCCCGTGCAGCTATGTGGCAGGCAAATTGACACCATTGCTGTGTAAAGCAAACATAGATAGATCTAGTTTTGCATGCAGAATGAATACCACTTAGAAGCAGAAATTTTCACTGCAAGGAATCTGATCAGAATGGTTCAGAGATGAAATGCAAAGTAATGGAAAGGTTCCCTGGTTTTATTCTCCTCTTTTTAGCTGCCAAATTGGACAAAGGAGCAGCCAAGCGTTTTGTAAAGGCTGCACTATACGACGCAGCTGAAGGTAAAACTTTGGTCTCTTGTTCATTTCATTTTCAGATTTCTAGATGTGATTGTTATCCTTTGCGGTTTAATGGATTTAACAAATGAGTTTGGCAGATGCAAATCCACATTAAGATTACTAACAGATTAACTGATTTGATGTGAAGTTGTCAAGATTGTCCACTCGCCTTACTTTAACGTTGTCTTTGCATTGGAATGCCCTCAAAGCAGTGAAACATTTCTTTATAAAATTGTCAACACTACACTGCTTTCAATCAATTTCATTTGTGGTCCTTGTGGTGCTTAGTAACATCATTTTGAGACCTCACAGTAATTGGACTTTACAGTTTTCCTTGCTTTCCTTACACCTTCAAATGTTTAGAGAAACGGAAAGGCAAAAGGAAGGCTACAGGTGACACCGAGTCCGGCCCATCTAAGAAAAGGTGACGCCACCCCCTTCACCAGTAGCTGTCCTCCTTGTTATGCTTCAATGTGGTTGATGCTGAGTGCTGCACTGTCAGCATGGCCCAACAGTCACATCCAGTCAGCTAGAAAAGAAGGCAGAGAGACTGTGACGTTGACGCAGAGCCAGCTACCAGACTATGGCTTGTTGAACATTATTGATCGAAAATTAATAGCTGCTATGTCACATCAGTCTTACATAGTGGAGGAGACATTGCTCTAAGCTTTGTTCTGCTCTAATAAGACTGCAACTTCATTTTGCAACCGACAGTCCTAAAATGCATTGCTTGTTATGTATGAAAAGCCGAGAGAACAATTGATACATGTATCTAGTTGCAAGTGAGTCGGGTTGGAGGAAGTCCAAAGAAGGAAAAATCTCCATCTGTATTTTCTGTTGGAAAGTATCCTAAGACAGAATGCTTGTGGTGTTGCGGTTTTGTCACAGGCCCTGTTTTCCTGGTTGCAATGTGTGCCTTACAAGGCAGTGTTCCGAGGAGTGTCCTCGAGGAAATCGAATGTAACCCACTGGTGCATCCTCTATACTGAAGCAACCATTGGACACGAAGTGCTGTCCACTCGTTGACTTGACGTACGTAGGGATAAATCGAAAGTACATGTAGACCTTGCATTGGCACACATGCACACATTTATTATTTTTGTAACCTTTTTATTTGCATCAACTTTCACACACAACGTGTTTAAAAGATTCAATCCTCACAGCATGAGGTGGGCAGATACATTGCATATGACTTGACACAATTTAGGATCAATGAACTTTATAAGTGTGCACTGTTTTTCACCACGTTATGGAGGTTTTGAATGTGTTCAAGTTTGAAAGTGTTCCCAATAAAGCCGGAATACACTGTGAGAAAACTCAAAGTATCCACTGTTTTAACTTGTGGAAGTGAGTTTCCTTTAAGTCATCTTGCATTGTAAAGTAAGGCTTCCTGCGTGCCTTGAATCTTTAGCTCTGAGGTGTACAAAACAGGTGCAGACTCACATGGCAATATTCAACAATCAGTTGTACATTTACCAATTTTTGTCCTCCGAGGAATTGAATATTTTCGTGTTGGAAATTGAAGTTTGTGGATAACTCCATGTGAACCTTTTGTTTTAAGAGCTGTTGGTTCTGCAAGAAGTTCAGAACGGCCAGCATGCCATGTCATCCAGAGAATCCTTTTAAGGGCAAGTCAGGTGACACCATATGATATATTCCTGAACCAACAGTTTGTCAGAGACTCGATACATTTTCACATGGGTGTTGTTAACAAACTTCATTTCGTCTCCCACATCTTCGGTAAGATTTGAGGCAAAGCAACATGCACGTGACCTCACTTGTGAGTGAAACCAGTCAACGTGATAATTCAAACTGCTCTGTTCGGCCATTCTAAACCTAGCTCAACAAATGAGATGACCTTCACTGAGCTACTGTAAGTCATACATCTAACTGAATCTCCAGCTCTCCACATTTCAAGTCTTCCTCATCAAATCATACATCGTGACTTTACATTGTTATGAACAAGCCCTGAACCCTGCATTGCATTGCCTTGCAGTACTGAGGTGGGATTACATGCAACCTTCTCAAGGGCTCTGTGAAAACATTTATCTTCAAGCAAACTTGAATTCTCAATTCTGATTGGTCGATCCATGGCAACAATTTGATATATGACTACTGCACGGTTCATATTAAACCCCACGTAAATGTGCTATTCTCAACACAAAAGCAAAACGCACAGCTGCTTGACTTACTGTAAATTCAAAGGTGGTGCATTCGTGAGCACAGGCCCCAATGACATCTTTACCCCACGTCAAGTTTGCTTGAATATAAATTATCGCGCTCACACTTGTGCAACACGGAATAATGTACAGGCAATGTGTCTGTGTCCTGTATACGAGCCGAAGGCCATGCGATAACTTATAGAAACAAAACACTCTCCTTCATAAGCCTCAGTCTTCAACTCCAAAAATCCTCTTCACAAACCAAGTGAAATTTGTATACATGTATATTTTAACCCACTGGCCTGTAGTCACAGATGATGTCCAATATAGTGGCTGTGGCTAAAAACAACACGTGTTTATTGAAGCCACTGGCTAGAGGCTGAGGCAACTTCCCACAGACGCGCTAGCCTAAGCCACAGCCAATTGACTGTTACATAGCCATATTTCAATGATGTTGGCATTTAGTTTGACTAGTCATTGTTCATTAAAAATACAAACAGCCTGATCCACTTAAGTTACAAATAGACCGATTGCGCCCGCTAACTCACGTGACCTATAGTGGGCATTAAATATCAACAAACACGTTTCCCACCAAAAGCAAAGTGTTTCACAAGTACCAGCATCATTTACCAAAACAAAAAAAGCTGACGGTAGGTACCGTACTCAGACTACTGATGTGCTGGGTACTATACCATAACTTGGCTGTATTGTTTGTAAACAACGCTTGAAACACACGTTGCTACAGGGATGATGCCCACTATAGGTCACATGATTTAGCAGCCGCACACCTTAAACTTGATAAAATCAAATTCTGAATTACTGAATAAAAATATAATTTGGCAGAATACCTAACCATCAAAGTCAATTCTCAGTATCTTACATATTACCTATTAGCATCACCAAAACAACCTATCACTTTACACCTTATAAAATTACAATATACATGTTTATGTACAAAGTATCTACACTGCAGATATACACGTGTTGCATGTATATGATGTAAACGCGACCACCGCTTATAACTTTATGTATGCATTGCTACACATCATGAATACCAGCAAATAATGACGTTTGCTGGCATGAGGCAGCAGTTTCATGGCGAAGTCTGTCCATTTGTATTTAAATTGTAAACAGCTTAAAATTGCAGCTTAATTTCTCAAAAATATTTCTGAAAAGATAGTAAAAGATAAGTAAAAGTGGGTCCAATATCTGGATTGGTGGGTCAGTGTGTGAACTCCTCCCTGGGATATATTGCACAGGGCAGACGTGCTGCTTAGCAAAACACACGCAGGGGTTACATTATCTTACTAAGGGGTTTTTAAACCCTCGCCCTAAACTGACCAAGTAATCACGAGTAGAAGACATATTTGGAGCAGCGTCCTACCCCGCAGGGAGTCACACGCATTCTCAAATTTCAGGTGCCTGCACACTTAAGGAAATTGTAACTAGTCCATTCATCATGGAGTCTTATGAAAAGCACATGCCACCTCCAAGCTAGTGTAATGTTCATTCCACCATTGCCTAGTCTCAGCGGCCAAATGAAACAGCTCGCACTCTGAGCATTGCATTACATCTTGCGACAAACGGAAAGCTGTGTCAGTTCAAAGTGTAACGACCAAAATCAACAGGGAAAAATGAACCCTTCCACACTAATAATCAGAATGGTGCAACTACTGACTCTAATCCACAGCCATGTTTGTAATGGAACCTTCCTGTATATTTGCATATCCTCCATTTTGCAGGGACCTGCAGACACATTCTTTGAACTTCTACCTCCTTAATCCTGCAAAATCCTCCCATGCCATCTCATGGATTTTTTGTAGGATCTCCCAGGGTCAGAGTTCACGAGTGCAAAATCATCACAGCTCAAAGAATCTGTCAAACACATGACTGCAGCAAGAAAAGATATTGTAAAACTGCAAACGAATATTACCGGACGTTCTAGAAAATATCAATTATTGCCTTTTTGTAATGAAAGTAAGTGGGGTAAGAAGTTGCAGTAGCACAAACTTCCACTCAGGTTGTCCGTTAAGTGGTGGTCAACCTTAAAGAGTAATGCAAAAAACATTTAAGAAATTCACTTCTGTAGATGTTTCAAAAAATGAACTATGGCATTTCCTTCACTTTTGGGGGAAAAAAATAAAAGGACTTGTATTAACACCTCAACAGTGCACTTTATCTCAAAATCGACGTGAACATATAAGAAAAGTTAGGCTGCGAGGTTCACTGACAAAAATGACAATCCTACATGAAGATGCACCTCATCACTTAGTCAATAAGAATCTTAGATTTGCATTATACAGTATAAGTGATGCACATGAGATAATTCCTCATAAAGGAGAGAAGAGGTTTCATTTGGAATATTTCAATTATTGAGACGATTTAAAATTGAAGTAAATCAATTACCCCTATCACGATTGATTAACAATCCACAGGTTGAGTTTTGTCATTGTTAAATGCTTTATACAATTGTAAAATCTTTGGATATTCAATTTGGATCATTAAAAACTATATGTTCTCATTTGCAAAGCATTAGAAGTAACGGTTAAAATACTTCATCTGGCATATTTAACAATATCTATATTTCACAAATTGAACAGGTACTAAGAGGTTTTAAGGCAAAATTCACTTAATGTAAAAGTGTTAGGAATTATGTCTTGTAGTTAAAAGTAAAAATTAAAAGACGAATAAAACATATTAAGAGAATCACGGTGGTTTGCATAAAGAAAATATTCCGACTTTCTTGAATAAGAGCATTACCAAGGAGACAGTAACCTTGGTTACCGCTCCACTTGGGTGTGGGGAAACACCCTGGTGACTTGTCCCATGCCCTTGGTTGTTCCTTCTCGGAAGAGGAGTCTGGCACCTTCACGTATGAACTCTGGCTGCTTGATGAACCGGAACCGGACTGTGGCCTGCCCGTTTGTCTTTATCCGTTCCTGAAGGGATAAACCAAAACGTCAGCAAGTAAATGGAATTTATTAATGATTTTCTTCACCTCTGGGACCACTTGCTCTCCAATTAAAAAGTCAGCATGTGACGTTTGTGTAGGCATGTATCCAAAAAAACTCTGACATATCTCCATAAACACTTGACCGATTTTTGCAAAGGGGGGAGATAGCAGTTTCAATTTTGTCTACTTAAGATCTAGAAATTATGCTAAAAAATCCAACAAAGAGTCAAAATTTACTGGCAAGATCACACAAAGCCAATATCAATGTGGCTGGTCCCCAGCACTCTCTGAGATCACAACACATAAGTTATCTTGTTGTCTATGGAATTTCCATGAACTATCTGCCCCAAGTTGCGGTGCAAATTCGTTGGCACAGAAGAGACAATTCGATCTGGCTTGTGCGCACACTCGGCGCACCAATGAAAACTTAACATTTGAGCAGAAATTGGTTAAATGTTATCACTACGTCCCGTGCAAAACACACATAAACCTGTGTGCATAGGCACTGAGATCCCATCGGGGGACTGTCGTTGCTATGTAACAAGACGCCCTCTCTTGTTCCCACTCGGAGCAGATAGGGAGCATCTACTTTGCTCTGATCCAAGTGATCCTCAAAGTTGCCTGTTTAACATTGCCGCGAGTGACTTGTCCCTACAAAGTGGTCAAAGCCAGCAGCTGCCTACCGTATCCATGCTAGCGATAACGGCAGTCTGGCAAACGTTGCTTATGTGAAGAGTAGCCTGAAATCCCTGACTAATGGAGGTGACATGAAAGAATACAAAGATGGAGGCTTCAAACTCCATGCAGGCCAACGGGTTGAGATCCTTGGACACCAACACCATCCCCTGCAGGGAAGGAAATGACGGGAAAAGATTTAGCTCGCCAGAACAAAAATCCTGCATTGGGAAAAAAATCAACTGGAGGAAAGTCACTGCAATATAAAGTCAAATATGTGACTGAAAATTTCAAAACCAGGTTGAAAAATTATTAGCTATTATCTGGCAAATGGTAGAGAGTGCAAAGATGAATGATGAAAATTCCACAACTTTCACTGCCGGTGAAAAACAACTCTCTCTGAAGTAAGTGCATGGAACAGCATTGAGTACAACTGTTGGGAATACCTATGGACAAGTTTAGACTCATTATGTGGCATTCTTATTCAAAACACAACATCTAAGCATCTATGGCACAGTGGTAAAGGCCCTTAAACAGTGCTAACATTTTCCCAAAGACGATGTACAGAATCCATACTCTTGCACCCAAGAACCAAAAAAGTGTGCGTCCTATGGAAATACCGACACCTATTTTCCCTGCCATCAAGTTAATCACACGCACGTGTCCCTGTATACAGCCACACTGTTCATCTCTCTGATGTGTCTAAGTATAATCAGACATTCTTCCCAACACCCTATAGCCATGTCCACTGTCAGCAGGCAGGTATGTATGGGCAACCAATGAAGACTTGGAACCCAGCTCCAGGCACAAGCTTTGGATGTGACCTTGACACTTGGGAGTGCAGGGGGTACCACCCCTACAACACAAGCAGTGGACTGACCCACCTTTCGTAGAACATTTTTGTCCCCCTCCCCAATGGCCAGCGTGGCAGCCTGCCCGGGCCGTACCACTCTGCAGGAGGTGCGATTCCTATGTATGGTGTGAACGGTGACGGAACTGAAGTGCCCATTCTCGTTTGGGCCAAGTAGCAACCGCTCTTTTTCCTTCACAGAGCCTCTGTCAAAAGAGATAGGTGAATTGTATTTCATCTTGTCAGTGATTGAGAGCAGCATAGCTGGCTCAAAATTCTTTTGGTATGATTAGGGTGTGACACTCACAAAGCTGTCGAATATAAACAAATGGCATTCAACTGCATATAATCAATCACTGATTTCAGTCGAACAAGGCTCCCATTTTGTCATTACTCCGAGCAGAATGCAGAGGATGGGGTAATTTTTTACTTACCGCGATAACGTTCCCCCAACTACTCGTCCTACATCAGGCACAGTGTACACCTCATCAACCTGAACAAATTAAATACAATAACCAAACAAAATAGAAAGATTGCAGAATGAACCAAACCATGCCTAAACAGACTTTTCAATCTCAGAGACTTAATGCCTCTTTCAAATATCTTTAGCACTTCTTTCCTCCCTATAGACAGATTTAGCGAGTTGCTTGCAAGGTTATCGTGGAAGAGGTTTCTTCGATTCCCTGTAGACCAGTTTGGAAATCCCCTTTTTTGTGCAAATGCCAGTGAAAGCATGAAAATTAGTCAACCGGGCATCCTGATTTTTCAATCCAAGGCAAATATGAACAACCAATCTATAAATACTGCCTTGATTATTGTTTATGGGCTGACGGCAAGTCACACAATTACACTGAAAAATCCATGCTTTGTCATGTCAAGACAAGCCAAATCAAAATACCAGTATTAAACTTTATGACGTTCACGGCCAAATCAACCATTGATCCAAGAACTGACAAGATGATACCTGGAATTCTGTGAGCTCCTGTGCTAGTTTCTCCTGCTCTATGCTGTTGTGAGACGGCGGGAGAACGTGGAGGAACTTCTTGAGCATGTCCAGGTTCTTTCCTGTCACACAGGATACCAGGAATATTGGGCATATGCTGTAAAGGAAGATGAATGGAGATTCTATCAATTACAATCAAATTCTCAACAAAGGCAACAAACTGAAGTCACAGTTCCCACATACTCACTGGCTTAGTTAAACCAACAATGCCAATGTCTTGTGATGTTGAGTCAGTAAAATATGGCAGCTAGAAAAGTTTAACAAGAATTTTGTGCAAATGGAACTTCCTTGCTAAGCCAGAAAATCGAATTTGGTCCAACTGTGTGAATCTCGTTCCTGACCTTCCATTGTTGAAGTTCCTGGCTGCCGTCACTGCATTGTCATCGCTGTCCACTCTGTATGGGACCTTCTTGCACCCTGGCCCTGAGAGGAGTCGGGTCAGTTGGTCCATGGTCCGCTGGATCAAGCCGCTGGGGCAAAGGTCAATCTTGCTGATCACAACAAAGATGGGGACTTGGAGGGCCATTGCGAGGCCGATGTGCTCCTTAGTGGTACCCACTGGGAACAGAAAAAACAAACATTGGTCATTCCTGGTAATTTGGGTGATGGATAACCTTTATCTTGCCCTTTAAAAATCAGTACTGGATGAGAGTTAGTTATGTTGTATTTGGGCCCAGGCACAAGAAGATTTTAGTTGTGCTTGACACAAGCAGGGCCCAATCTTTTGGTGCTTCTCAGCCCATTATTTTTCCCACTATTAACAGGCTCTGTTCACTAGAGGACTGCAAGAGGTTAGCATAGTAAAGAAAACGGTAACTTCAGCGAGTTAAACTTGTGAGGATATTGTAAGAAACTGCTCATCGTGAAATTAGCCCCAATACAAAACCACAAAAAATGACAACACTATCCTTACAAATGAAGAAAAACGTTGCAGCCTTCTGTTTCCATTTGTTATTAAACCAAAAATCTCAATAAAATATGTTTCAATTTAGTAGTGGATAACTCACCAATACCAGTATTGGCACTGACTACCAGCATGGCAAAGTCCGGTATATATCCCATGAGGCCCGTGATGGTCGTCTTGAGGTATTTGTGGTGACCGGCCAGGTCAATCAGGGTGATCAGTTTTGAAGCATTCTCACAGATCTCTTCCGCCGTCAGACAACCTTGCTGGCTGTCTCCGTAGTTGATGACCTGGATGTAGAATCAAAGAAGAGGAAGGTTGATTGTGTTTCTCTGTGCCTTTCTCCCAGCCATGCTGTGCAGACATCCACCGAACATTTTACAAGTTTAGACGCCATTCTACAACAAAACCTGTAAATCCCATGAACAGACTCAAGAGATTAAAATCACACTTGGGCATGGGACACTTTCTAATCGTAAACTGTATTTGTCTTTAACTGGCACTTGTGGATATTCTGCTAAGTGTCATCTTTGCAAGGCGCATGCCGAGTTGAGAAAGGTTTTCTAGTCAAAGGTCAGCATACCTCTCCTTTGCTGTTAAAGCCCAGCGTCTCGTGGCTGATGCTGGATGTTCTTCCTGACTGGATCTCGTGGAGGTGACGGAACAGGTTGAGTCTGGCTCGTCCCCGGCCGTTGTCCAACTCGCCCTGAGTCAGCACGCCCAGGAGTGTGCTCTTCCCGACGTCCACATTGCCAAGAACTGCCACTCGCAGGTCAATGAACTATGTCAATTTTAAAGGCAGAATTGTTACCACGTTATGTTAGGATTTTCACATATTTTGTTCTCACACAAAAGCTGCTACACTAGTTAAGCTGTTAAGTGGATAAATGACTTGTCTATTAAAAACTAAATCCAATTCTTCTTAACCTTTGCACAACCCGACGACACACTGCTTAACACACCAACCTGTTGGTCATCAGGGATTCTCCTGACCAGAACCTCACAAGCCTTCCTCTCCTCACCCACCTCACCCTCGGCCTCCAGGCTCCGCTGCCTTAAGATGGTCGTTGTGGCTCCCAGCCTACCGATAAGCACAGTGTCAGTAACCCACAAGCCCAAACCATAAGGCAGATTCGTAACGTATTTTGACATTCTCTGCACTACTTAAACATTGGGTACGGTTTTGGCACCCATACATTACAAGTGCAATTCTCTGACATCTTATCTAGATGATCAAGTTTTCATCCAAAGTGACCGCCTCAGCTAGAAGTATTCCTAGTGAGCCAGTCCGGCATTTCAAAAGCCATGGTCTTTCGAGAACAATGCGCGCAAGTGAGTCAATGTATGGGTGCGCTGACAGGAACGACTATCGAGTGCATGCATAGCTGTTCCCAAATAGCCTCAAACTGGGCATGCGCCGTTGAAATACCTAACTGGTTCACTGTATCAAAGGAAGATGCCCTGCATAACCTGTTGCGTTTTTTACAATGATTGTACCCTATACACTCCAGCAGTTTAGTCAAGGTATAGAAGTCATGCCACTCTTCATTTTTACAGAGGCAAACGGTTATGTGTACGATCTTTTTTTTTTCCTCTGAAACGATGCATCAAATTTCTCAAAGCCTCTCAGCAGGTGAAATGCAATGAAGTGAGAGAGTGTTTGATAGTTGTTTTCACTGTTGGATTTAGAGGTCAACAAAAGACACAGGGGTAACTGTATTGTGCCATGACTGATGTTTCACCCAACAATGCACCATGATGACCAAATTGTTGGCCTTAATAAAGATTTTTTCATTATACCTACAATGGTACATTATGTTGGTGTCAATGAAAGTTAGGTAAAAAGAAGTTGGCTGAACATGACTCCTCATGTTTCAAACAACTTTTAATTTCAACTGTCCATCACGTTCTTACCTGCATGTTTTTCCTTACAATTTCATCAAAATGTGCTGTACAAATTTACCCCTGGACAAGAGTCCAAATTGAGAATGGATAGTTGGAAGATTTCAATGATTTGCGATTTTAGAAAAAAGGGAACAGGAAAGCTAACTGTTCAGTAAACTGCTCACTTGTTGGCCATTCTGTTTAGCGTTTCCAGCGAGGCTTGAAGGTCGGACGGCATCAGGCCCACCAACATCCCATTATCCTCCACGCCGATCTCATAGATGGCCTCCCCTTGACCTTCCCGCAACCTCCATTTCATCTGGGTCACCAGGTGCTCAAAACGACTGTGGGAAGGGCTGACTAGCTTCAGCTGTCAAAGTCCAAGGGTCAAACATCACTTACCAGAGACGAACACATTGGTCAGAATTGAAGCAAAACACAGGATGGGCATATTTGCAAGTGTTTAGATGAAGCTCAGAACAAGCTGCACACTGACAGCATTCTATTTTTGCACTGGTGAAAACACGATGCCGAATATCTTAATTTCTTTAACATCTGAATTATCCTAATGTGCACTCACCTTGTATTCAATATTGCCTTCTTCCGCCTGAAACAGAAAAAAATCAGAAACACTTTTCAGCAGCCTAGAGATACAAGGGAGGTATGCAAATTAGAGGATTTTTATTTTGGGGGTCAGGGCATAAAAATGGCACGAATTGTGAAGCGATTTTGTAGCAGTGCAGTTGATGGAAACTTTATTTGTGTTCGGTAAGCACCATGCAATATGGCAAATCAGGGCTTCTTTCTACAAGGCTCCTACTTTATGGTCAACAACTCGACTATGTGCCAACTCGACTCGGGCCAAGTCAACTGTTTGCATACTCAATTGACGTATATTCCACGGTTGTGCCAACTGGTCCATTTAGCAACTGATCTTCCTTACTTTAAGGGCACCTCAACGTTTTGTTTCACTCCATTTTATTTTTTACGTCTTACAAAGAGTGCATTGGTCCAAAATTACTTTTGCAGCCTTGGGAAGTCTTCATCTTTATACAACTTGAGGAATGGAGAGTCATTTTGTGATCATGTTCCTTAAAAAAGGTGAAATCCTTACCAATTTAGGCAAGGAAAAACATCCATATATGCTGTTTACTGACAGGCTCCATAAAAGTAAGGATTGAGTCAAGTTGAGTCAACTTGACTGCTTGCTGGCTCATTTAAAGTAGGTACAGTATAAAATGGCAGAAACCAACATTGGAATGAGCGACTTTGAGACATTGGTGGCAGAACTATGAACACATGATCAGAACAATGCGCACATGCACAGAACTGCTACAAAGGACCGGCACGTTTGCCGCCACCAAGCGTCTCAAAGCTTCCCATTATCTCCAGTACTTTTTTCACATTTTTCTATAACCTGTGTCTGCATTTCCATGTACATATTGAGAGAATTGTAGACATTGCCATTTAAATCCAAAATTAATGCAACATGTTGAGCGTGCTGTAATTTGTTGCTGATTTTATTGCTGATGAGCTATCATCAGACATATAGCACACGTGAGGAGAAATCAACCACCAAAAAACCTCAAGTACCACCTGTGCTTGTGCATGATGAAACAGTACATACAGATGGAGTCACAGTTGACTGCCTACCCCAAGTAAATATATTGTTTTCAATGCACCTTGACTTCATAGCCGTGTAGCAAACTACAAGGTAGTCTGTGTGGACTCAGAATTTTTTCTCCAACTTCTATTTGCTGTGCATTCCTTAATTCCCAAAAGCACCTGACTCTGGTAATGTCCTTATCTGCAAAGCATTACCAGGTTAACATTACCCTGTTGGTGTGTAACCAACCACAGAGTACATATTCTTAATTCCACCTCATAGCCAGTAATTCGTACAGGTGGATTTCAAGTGGCAGAATACTCTACAAGTATAATTCCAGTAATTTCCAGAATATAAGCCTCACGGCTTATAAGCCGCAGCATGCAAAAATCAGCAAATTATGATTTAAAGTCAGTGTGTAAGCTGTACCACTGCACTGATGATCCAACCACGAAGGTCATTGCATGCTGAAGTACCAGTACAGTACATCAATGGTTCCACTACATGTACATGTACATAATGTATGTCATGTACATGTATGTGAGTGCAATATACCAGTAGGACTACACGTTTATGTGCATATGTGACCCACTCTGTGAAAATGAGTCTTAATGAGCCACTTTTTGAGCTTTCATCTGTATTGGAAAGAGCAACTTGAGTTTTTTGTTTTGATGTATCACTCAGTTTGGCATCCTCATGAAAGTGGATACTCCATGGTAACAAATGCTGTGGGTTCCTATTGATTTACACTGCAAAATTATTCTAAAGGACTTCTTACTCGAAAGTGGGTCTGGCGACTTAGGACTCATCTTCACAGAGTGGGTCACATGTGTACATGTACATGTACGTTTGAACAAACACACATACTACAGCATCCCATTACACACCACATGTGCACAAGACCAAAACTGATATCTTTTACCATTCATTGTCATTCTTGTGCAGACAATGCTGTGATTCAAAATCTGGTGCCTAGTGATGTGGAGACCAAGGAGATTTGGTTGAAAAGGTCTCCACAATAGGCCTAGGCCCTAGGTCATGATCAGATGATCATGATGTAGACCTAACATTAGCTGGTTAGGTCTCAACAAGCATATCCCGAAATTTGGAAATCACGGCCTAGAGCCTACTGCGTGTAGGCATACTGACGAATTTTTAATATCAGAATGTGTGCAGGATCGATTTGGTGCAAATTGAAGTAGCCTAGGCCATGTAAGCGCAGCCCTAGGCCTATCTTTGTAAAAGGGACATTCGTTTAAAATTTCAAATACGAAAGTAACTCTGGTTCAAATGGGAGCATGGGGCCTAGCCTATAAAAAATATTGTAGCGCAGGCTAAATAATATTAGGCCTACAATGTACAGATTACTGATTCGGCCTACACTGTGTACAATGTATGTACATGTACATTGTGTACATGTACAAATGTACAGTACATGTACAGTACGTGTAATAGCTGGCTCGGCCCAGGTGATATGACTTACCTCGGGCGGAAGGTTCGACATTGAACAAGCTACAGCAGGCAAATTCTCCTTTACAGGAGACACTCTTTGGGAACTATAACTTCCCGACATCGTGAAGTGTCATCTGCAAATTCAAGAATGGGAGTAACATCCCGAAATTCGGGATTATAAGTCTATTTAACATTCGCGTTTACAACTTTCGTCCCTTTGGTACCGCCACCATATTACCCGGCAGACAGCTGCTGTCACTTTGCCAATATGCAAATCATGACCCTTATTTATAGGTAAGTTCATACGTCACTTAAAGTAGGCGGGGTCGGCAATGAAACAAAATTTCTACGAGGTTTGATCAAGTAAAAACGTGGCATGTAGCTGTGGACCGCAAGGTAAGTGGGAATAACTAATTTATTTATACGATAATGAATTATGCAGGTTAAATACGTGATGCAACTGCTGGGTAACATTTTTGAACAAACAAAAAATTTGAAAGTGTTGTGCAAGCCGCCTGATAAACATCTGATGCAAAATCATGCAACTGATTGAAACGGTGCAAAACTGTCAAGAGGGCCATAGGTCAGTGCACGTAGCACAGTCAGTGGCCTTTATCCTCCTTTGCACGATTGAACGTGTCTACTTTGAAAAACTATATTTTTACAGATCATGCGTGTAAAACTATAAAAAGTCAATGTCAGCCACACTTTAACGGATGATGTTGTCCTGTCTAGTCTGAGCCAATCCATGCCTAGTTGAAGCCCAGTTCTGTTTGATTCATACCCACCAACAATTGTTGCCTAGTTAATCGCAGTTACCTGCGAATCCATGAAGTAGGACCCCCGCCCCCAAATGCTAGGAGACCTGGCTGTGTGTGGGAGGGCCTCCTCGCACCGCCTCTCTGGGCTGAGCAAGACTCCATAATTATACGGATAAATATTTCCTATAAATCATTATGTTACCGTGTAGTGTTCAAACTGGTTTGTTGAGTAAATTGAAAACAGTATTCAATATGTCTCGCCTGTTAAGCAGGGAAAGAACACCCCCGGGGCACAATGAAGACTCAGGGAAAAATTGCGGACCATTGTATCATGCGTGCAACCAGTCTCAACCTGCCATTCCCCGGACTCCCCCCCCCCTTTCCGGCCACCTTCAGTTATGGGAAAAATTCAAAAGCCAAGGAAAGCATAACGTTACATAAACAACCCACAAATAGCGGGAAAAGGGAAGAGTAAATTGCACAACAAATATCAATGACCATGGGAACAAACCAAGAACCACACATTTTCCAATCGAAACGTCATTCAGAAAATGTTTTAATTTCTACTGAAATAGTGCAAGGATTTATTTTTACAGTGGCATAAAATACTACTGGGAAAAAATGATGTTGAAGAAGAAAGAAATGTGCAGCCAGGTTTGTTTCCCTCGGCTGCATGAAAGATGATCATACATAAATAACAATGACTGAAATATGTCTATCACGTATCCTATTCATTGTATAACAACCTACTCAAAATCTTAACAACTCCTACTCAGGTCAGATGAAACTGTCCCTAAAGAACACTGTCTTAATGACTAATTCGACATCGATTTCCCTTGGGGGCAAAAAAGTTTACACAGCAAGTCTCTATCATATATGAAACTTCAAAACGCAGGTGTAAAGCACCAACTTGAAACATCCCATTATAATGAAACATCCATTCTGGCTACATAAAAGGTAACAACTTTATTTGTTTAGTAAAGGCACTGCATATTTATAAAAACATTCCTATGAAACAAGTGACTTATGGAAAACGACGCAGGTAATGGGAATTTATTCCTTCACTGCAGATTTCCGCTCATTTTTTTTTTTTTATGGAAACCAAAATATCTACTCAACAACAGTTTTTAGTTCCTCTGCCAAAATCCAAACCTAAAATCCCCAAAAATTCCTTTAAGTAAAGGTTGCTGATGTTGGGCAATTAATGTCACCACACAGCTGCTTTCCTTGAACAAAATATTGTGATTTCTTTATGAAGAGTCTCCCTAAAAATCTTAGAGGGTTACCATGGTTATCCTTTTTGAAAGTAAACAATATCACAAGTGATTCTGTTTCTTATGCAGCTTATTTTCTTATACATCAATTTTTATCTTGAGGAACTCAACTAGGGAAATAGCTTACAATAAACAACTCAATGAAGACATTATAAAATATTATACACAGCTCTGTCAAATCATATATACTTGCAGTCCACCATTTCAAAAATAAAATCCCACGACATTTACACTGGTATAACGAAAAATGCAAAAGTGATCGGGATTGGCTTGCATTTCCTTGGATATCATTTCGTTGCATAGCAGTGACACCTAAAGATGTCTACGATAAACAGAAAGCATTTTGACAAAAGGCCAAAATTGAGCACACAAAGGGTCTGGCTATTTGGTAACACGTTTCCAAGTCTATGAGTTTGAATCTTGAGCCAAACACTGCAGAGTAACTCTGATTCACAAAATTCATGCACCTTTCCTCCAACTCCGCTTTTTTTCCCTACTCACTAGAAATGCCACAAAAGAAGGTATCTTTGGTCCAAGCTGAGGACATTTAGGTACATCATAAATTCTCATGTTCACAGCCCGAGGTATTCAGTGATTCACATTTGACAATCTTGTTATGTTTGAAGGAATACTCTATGGGGTCTGTTCTCAGATAGTGAATGTTTAAACAGAAAAAAAAAATTTAAACCAACACAAAAAAATACACCTATATTCTTCCTTGGTTTTGACAGCATGAGAATAAAAAAAGCACCACAATAAAAACCGTCTTGGTACAGCCTTTAAAAAGAATGGTATACATTGATTCTTGCAACAGACTAGATATGAGCAAGGCAACATATTGACTAAAGCATTTCTACGCGAAGAACAGTATGTATTTTTGGCAGCATTGCAAAGTCATCATCAGCTTTTGCAGTTTAGGCTGCTGATTATTAACACCACATTAATATACATTCCGCATCACTAAAATATTTCTACATAATGCAAGCTCAGCTCAGGAACCCCACGTCAATTTTTTTCAAAAGCAATTGAAATGCAATCATTCAATGAACACAGGAAATAAGGTCACTGATTCAAGGATGCGCACAACTATTTAATGTGATGACGATAGAGCACTGATGACACGTCAACAACCTATCATTTACAAATGAGTGAATAACGTAGTTCCTGAAGCTTTCTTGTGTGATTGACCATTCCTGAAATCTCACTGATTTCATTTTTCTTTTGATCACAACACGTGGCCCATATTTACGAATTGCTCCACTTCTTTTCAGTTTTTGGAATTGTGCCATTGTGCCTCGTTTTGCAATCTCACAGGAATATGCCTCACAAGATATGATGGATGATCAGAAATATGTTAACATTTAAGAGGAGAATGTGAAAAAACGGGCCAAAATGCAATTTTGAAATTGAACTTGACTTAAGCTACTTCTTTCAGAACCATAACAATCCTTTTTTGCATTTTAGTCAGCTGAATCTTTCCCACAGTGGGTCCTGAACATACCACTTTAGCCCTGTTTTCTCGCCATGTCTAAAGAAAATCTTAAGGCTGTGCATTTCTGAAGTCTTGTAAAGCAAGTGTTATATGTATTAAATTCTAGTATTAAACAAAGTGAAAGGAAAAAATGTTTTGTGCACTGCCTTAGCCAAGTATAGACACTGACCATTTTCCCAGAGTTTCCACCAAAAAAATGCAAAGAACACTTACAGAACAATTTCGGTAATAGTGAATCTTTTTCTACCTATCATTTTCTATAAAAAACACACGCTTGAGCCCACATCACGTAATTAATAAATAAATATGAAATGAAAAAGAAAATAAAGAAGTTACGCAGACGTTCCGTTCCAAATTGAAGAGTGGCTCCCCCGTGGCACAAAGATAAGACACAAACCATATCGCTGGCGGGGACGCAGCAACCGTGCGGGTGTTCAGCATTTATCATATTTTTTTCTGATCAATCCTACTGCAATTTCAAGCTGCAACAAATAACAACCCTCTCTAATATCTAAATTGTCTTTAATTTTCTTTGCTATTGCATTTCAGCAGACATTCAAGGGCATCTTTTACTAGTAGTTTACTTAGAATTTCCTCAAGCTGATAGCAGATGAAAGTCGATGAGACAAAAAAAAAGGCAATAAATTAAAAGTAGCTCGGCTAGGCCGCACGGTTAACAAGTCTATGAAAGAGCTTCTCCCCCTGGATCAAACACAAATACTGCCTGTCGGAAAAACAAAAATTGCAGGAGGGGAAACCAAACGCAAACCGGCGGCCCCCCTCCCTGTTGAACAACCCACAATGTTTACGTTGATCGCTCCCATTGCATCTCTGGATGACATCCTGCTCACTTCTTGGTGCTCCCCCTGGGTGGCGTGATGGGACGACCCGAGTTCAGCCCTCCGTATTGGTACTTTGCCTTCTTCTCTGACGGTTTCAAAATCTGTTGGGAAAATTTAGATGTTTTTTTTTGTAAAATGGAAATGTGCAAAGTCCTGCAAGCTTGAAAATAACAAAACTTGTCGCTGCTCATAAGAATTTCCTATCTCAATCTTTACAAGAGCACATCTTCCCAGAATGCTGAGTGAAAGAATAAAAGCCCTCCAGCTGCACTTTGTGCAACAAAGGTGCACTTTGAGCAAGATCTGATCCAAATTCAACCTCAGATTGGGTCCAATCAAATGTGGTTCAGTTAGAATCAGATTGATAATTTGAAGATGTCCCATCAGATCGGATTGATCATTTTGTCCATTATCCGACAAAATATGACTCTGCTTCCAACTTGTTTAATATGCATGAAGTCGTCTACTGATGTTAGTAATTTGCTACTATTAAAAACAGAGTCNCACAAGGTTTGTGTTGAACACTGCCCATTTTTAAACAATGTCATAAAATTTATTAATTTTATCCTGAAGTTAGGGCTTGCTGCAAGTTCTTAAGTTTAGATTTTATTGGATTCAGATTGGATTCAGGATTACTGAATCCGATCCGATCTAGCCAGAAGCTGTCGGATTGGTTTAAGCTTCGCTAATCCGATCGAATACACATCTTTAATAGCAAGCTCCTTGGGTGTGTGCTTGACCCCTTTGTGCCGGTGGCATTTATCAATGTTGATGATGCTGTGATGGGTGAGGTTAAGGATGTTTTAAATGCATGTTTTGGTATGGGAATAAATACATGCTCGGCCAGTCTTAAATGTTCTTTTTAGACTGGCTCAAGAGAATGGACAATGATAATACCTGATAATCAGGCCCGGATATTAGTCGCTTCCATTCTCCTGAGCCATTCTTAACCACTTCAGGCTGGGGGCATGTATAAATATTGATTCAGCTGGGCCGGAGTTTTTTTCATTTTTTCTGTTTTCAAACTTCTCTAAAAATTCCTATCTTCATTTACTGGACACTTACACCCACACAAAGGACTGTCTGGTTTCTACTCTAATCTGACAGACAACATCTATTGACACTGGAGTATTTTGGCTAGGCCTGCTGCCTTGTAAAAAGAGCTCAGATTGTGCAGTGTTACTTAATTTTCTTTTGTTCACAAAACTGGCACAGTGCGCTGCTGCTGCTGACCTGTTGGTCAAATGTTGGTAATTCCCAGCAGCCTGGTCTTTTGTTATGAGTACGGTCTTTTGTTACAAGGTCCAGTTCCCTTTGCCTGATTTCGGACACCCCGGCCACGCGTATAAAGAATACGTGTCCGAAACCGGAATCCCTGGCGGCAAGTGGTTAAGGGTATTTTTAGAACCTTGTACCCATTTTATGTCAATAACCGGTACCTGTGTACCCTTAAAATATAAAAAGTACTTAACAAATGGAACTGTGTGCAATACCAGTGAACCATATGCCTGTACAGGGCTCTTTTTTTCATATGTAGAAAGCAGCCCATTGTTCGAAACGTTAAAGGGGAATCTCCCCACCATTGGATCAAACAAAATTGAAACCTTGAGTTTGTAACAAAAGTAGCTCTGTCAATCTCTCAACTGCAGTTATGTCCAGGGGACCGGGTTTTCAGCAGCATGCTGATTTTTCAGGAAAATTGTTCCCTCCACTATTAATGTTCACATAAATCTTGTACGTGGATTTTTTTTTTTTTTTTCTTTTCTTTTTACAANAACAAGGTTTGTGTTGAACACTGTCCAGTTTTAAACAATGTCATAAAATTTATTAATTTTATCCTGAAGTTAGGACTTGCAATACACTGGCTGCAAGTTCTTAAGTTTAGATTTTATTGGATTCAGATTGGATTCAGGATTACTGAATCCGATCCGATCTAGCCAGAAGCTGTCGGATTGGATTAAGCTTCGCTAATCCGATCGAATACACATCTTTAATAGCAAGCTCCTTGGGTGTGTGTTTGACCCCTTTGTGCCGGTGGCATTTATCAATGTTGATGATGCTGGGATGGGTAAGGTTAAGGATGTTTTAAATGCATGTTTTGCTATGGGAATAAATACATGCTCGGCCAGTCTTAAATGTTCTTTTTAGAACCACACACTTGTGTACACAAACAGTAGGTGAAAACGAGGACAGGTTCCTGGACCCCTTGCCTTGCTTTGTTGCTGTACAGCCAGTACCAACTGAATACCAGCATCTATGATCTTCATATGTAAGGGTAAACAATTTGCCCACAAGCAAATGATATGCCTCTTGCAAATAATGAATAGTTCTGGCTGTTCTCAGTCATTCCAAATACAGCCTCACAAAATCCATATACTTGAAAGTGTTATTGACCGGAATTTGCATTAATCAGCAGGCATCTATAGAAAATAGTGTGTAAAGAGTGGTGTAAAGGTCAAAATTTTACATCGAACGATGTTTCCTGGTCAAGATTCCACATCCTCTGCAACAGCATCACTCGTAATAAGTCAATGCAATGCCATTGTATTTTTTTTACTAAAACTCTTGAAAATGCACTATTGGTCTTTTAATTTAATATTGGTGTTTTTAACCTTATTTTCAGTTTTTATGCCAACGTGAAATTCCATGTCAATACAGGAAAAAACCTCAATGATGTACTGATTCCTGCACAAAAACCACTAGAATTTTGTTTGTATTTTGTTTCCAAAATTTCCTTTTCATTGGTGATTCAATGTTTTGTTGGCAACAAGCCAACAAGCAAACCATTGTCAGAAATGTTTTCAGTGACCTGGTTTTAGGTTCACAATTTGAAAAGAATACCTAATGACTGAAGAGTGTGCTTCCTGATGGACATCATAGCAACAGCGCCCTCAGTTGTCTTGAAAAGCATAAACAGCATTTTTAATACAGTTCACCAATAGAGTTGTCAAATAGTTTTATACACTGAAGATGAGTATACAATTGCACCAATAAAGTGAAGCTAAAAAAAAAATTCAGAGAATTTTGAGGTAACTATCAACTGGAAACTTTCAAAATCATTACCTGAAACGAGCACATAAGGGTTTCATCCACGCTCATCATGCCTCCCGCATTGTCAAACTCTCCACAGTAGTTGGGGGCGGAGAATAACGTCACTAGCTGACGTTTGGCAAAGAACTCGTACCCGTCTTCAACAACCTGGAAGGCATACACAAAAGAGGGAAATGTTAACGGATCCGCCCTTCAACAAGATTGCTTGTAAAGAGGCTTATTTCAAAAGGGCTGAAATTGTCTGCCTATAAAGCTAAATGGTTCATGTCTAGTCCAAGTGGATACCATTACTGGCAAGTCTCTATGTACAACTCTATGGTTGGTTCTGGTCGAGTTGATGGGTCTGTGATTTGCTCATCTGAGGTCAAGACATTTGTGTTTTGTCCCATTTGTTGGGGTTTTTGGCCCGAGATTACGCCATGGTGTAGGATATAATAAAAAATATTGGTAGGAATTCAATCTGTCTTGCAACTTGACAGGAATGATGTCTATATCAAGTTGCAACATAACAAAATTCTGTTTCCAATGAGAGAGACATTAGTAGACCCTCCATTTAAGGGAATTTCTTTTCAACTTGGTGAAAATTAGCATCAGAGAGGACCGGTCTAATCTACAGAAAAATGGTGAGATATGGTAGAGCAATCATTGCAGAAATAACCATGAGGAGTTCAGCAACAAAAGAATTCTAAAAGATGTCCAAATCCGTAAGATTTGTTGGGTTTCAAGGATTGACCATTCAAACTCTTGAAGTAACTACCTTGGCGTTTAGGCATACTTTTTGAATGTTTGTGGCCATACCTGGTGAGCTCTGCATATCAAGTCTAAGTCGTGCTTGTTCAGGAATTTGGAAACCACATCAACGCCAAATGTGAATGAGACGCCGCGATCATTCTCACCCCAGCCTTGCGTGTCCTTGTCTGGATCAGACCAAAGCAGGTCACACAACAACCCTGGCCAAAAATACAAGCGAAAACAAGGCAGAAAAAAACAGTAATCAAATTAAGGTCATTGACATCTGGGGTGAACTTGAAAAAAGGAGGAAATTAAGTAGTTGACTTTCCTACATAGAAATGAGGAAATAAACTAACCAAGGAAAACGACGTCCATTTAATATCTACAGTCTAAATGAAAAACCAAATTGGATGTAAAGTTTTTTTAATTTCAAATCTAAAATTAACAAGTTGTTTTGAGAGGAATTAAAGACATACAACTTTTTATATCACACAAAACGATTAACCCAGAACACATTTTCTTACATTTTCGTACTCGTAAGTGATGAAGAGGTATTGAATTCACAATTTTATTCAAGTGTCACAAGGATACATGCAGCTTTTTTTTTCAGGTGTTGAATAAAATAATGTTTCACATTTATGCCACAGAGCAAACACTTTCTTAAGGTGACTAATGAAAAGTGCCCATTCCATCTTGTGGAATGGAACATAAAACATGCTCATGAAAATCTTCTCGCCACTGCACTCATAAGTATTCGTTATTCATATAACAGCCAGTAAATTTATGACTTAAAAAGTGAGGATAAAACATTCATGTGCCAGCCAGAGACAAACTGGATGATTCAGAAACTCTGAAGAGCCCCAGTGTCCTAGGGTCTAAATCCCCCCAGACGGCACACATGATTCTGCTTCACACCCACTGTGCCGTCCTCTTGAAATCTCACTGTTTTCACTGAACAATGTTCCCAAGAGCAGTCAGTACCCTCCAACTTTCCAAATATAAATTCAAAGCAGTGAATCTCCCCGGATAAGTGAGTCACAGGGTCCAGTCAATTGGAGGTTGATTCAACCAAAGGATTGAGGAGCTGTTCAGGTTGGTAATGCAGGTAATTCATATTTCCTGCAGCTGATAATCCAGTCACTCTCACACATGTACATGAGCAATGTGGTAAGGTTAAGGGTGTTTTAAATGCAGGTTTTGCCATGGGAATACATGCTAGGCCAGTCTTAAACGTTCTTTTCAGACTGGCTCAGGAGAATGGACAGTGATAACACCTAATCAACAGGTTCGGTTATAAGTTGCTTCCATTCTCCTGAGCCATTCTGAAATGTTAGCTTAAGCCCCGCCAAGCACACATTTATTCCCATTCACTACTACCTTTTAAGTCAGATCATCAACACAAGTTTTAAAATATTACAAGTTTCCAATGATTTTATTCAACTTTTCTTACTTCATGAGTGACACGCTGCCGACCAACAGGAATGGTTAAACTGTCCAAACTACTTTTTATGAATACAGGTCGAGACACAGATAAACCCAATGATTTAAGGGTTTTCCATAACAGTTCAGAGTTCTTTCATACCAGTTCAGAGTTCTTTCAACGTGGCCCCAGAGCCACTGAATAGACTGAAATTCAAATGCAATGTACAAGACGGTATTGGAACATTCTTGGAGGCATCTTTAAAGTGCATTAATTCCAGTTGACTTGGTCCATTTGTACTTTATGATATCAACTCTCCCCCCCCCAAAAAAAAATTCTTCTGAAAAAGAAATCAGTCCTATACTGTGGACCTCACTGGTTCGAAACAAAACCATAAAATTATAGAGTGTGTGAGCAGTCCACCTTAAACAGGAGTAAATTATGCTACTTGTACGTACCTGTCTCAGGGACGTCAGTGGGTCTCATAATGCGTCTGATCTGCTCCATGGACTGCAGGTCCGGTGAAAGTCCTAAAAAATACATGCATGTACCAATGACATATTGTTTAGTTAGGTTTGTGTTATTGTCGCCCGTCCCTTAGCGGTCAAAGGTCAACTTCCGTTTATCAACCACGGCCTATATGTTTTTGTCACTGTGACTATCACGTAATAAGCACTGCGATGCCAAACCTCAAAATTCTCTGTGAGTTACTGTGTATTTTTGCCCATGTTATGAACGCTTGCGCCGTCTACAGCACAGCAGTTACTGCCATTAAACTATGCAGGACAAGGTGCATTACCATATCTCATACATATTCATGCTGACCCTAATTCCAACTGGCCTAGTCACAATCACATGCCAGTTACCATTTTTGCTATTTACCAGATGCCTTCACAAGGATCCAACCAAGTGAAATACGCAAGTGAAATGTGCTTTATGAAGATATCGTGGAACTGTAACCCAGGCAAAGTACGCATGCTCAAGCATTACCAAACGATGCCTGAAATTGTAAGGGCTCCCCTCAAGCGGGACTGGAATTTGACACAGCCTTAAGTACAAGTTTGTCGACTTCCAAATCAAGGGAAGCTAACAATGATTCTCAAACCAAAATAAACCAAGTTATTTTTTAATACTAAAGCATAGCTTTTCCCCCTTCAATTCCACTCATACATCTACTGTTGGTATTACAAGCAGTGAATAACTGAAGTTTAACATCAATCAAAGCTGTTAAAATGCATCAAGGGGCATCATTGGGTTTAAGGACAAACACGAATTTGTGTTCGATATTGAGTTACAAAACGGAAAGCACATTTGACAATTGATGGCAATGTAATATATCATGGGGCAGTCACTTTGCTTTTCCACTATTTAAAGCAATGTAACCAAACTGAGGCTGGAAGAAAGAGTCTGTTCCCTTTTATCAATACATGAAGTTGTATTACTATTGTCATAGAGGCTATAGGCAACAAGACAAACATGGCTGCATCATGATGAAGGTCTACAGTCAGTGCTAGCACTGCCTTTGTTCAGGGCTAAGTTGGAGTAGAGGAACAACTTATGAATTGTTTCACACAGTAAATACATGAACAAGTGTAGGCAATTTTCTATTCAAATGCATAGTTGCTTATTGAGTATTGAGTAGTGAGTATTGAGTACTGAGTACTGCGTGTTGAGTACTGAGTACTGCGTGTTGAGTACTGAGTATTGAGTAGTGAGTACTGAGTTGAGTATTACTCAATCATTTGCACATACACCAAAGACGACCTCATCTAAATGCTCATTAGAAGTACAAAAAGCTGATGTGTGGCTATAAGAGAAATTTGAAAAATTCACAGCTGGAAGAAGTAAGTCTTTTGCAAGTTCAAATGAATATCAAGGGTGTTACAGTACCTCCATGACAACAGAAAATCTTCTCATCAATAATGGCGGCTATTGGCAAACAGTTAAAACAGTCTGTAAATGTCTTCCATAATTTGATGTTGTAGCGTCGTTTACCTGATACATGGTGAAAAATATGAAGAGATATGAATTAAAGCAATGGTGTTATCTACCAATCATTTCCTCTTTTGCAAGGCATAAATAACCCAGCAATAATTTAATACATGAACCTCAAATGTCAACTTAAAAAGAAACACCAACGCAAAGGCCAGCCTTACATTCATCATAGAAACCGTAGATCCTGTTGATGCTGGCACATTCGTGGTTGCCCCTCAAGAGGAAAAAATTCTCAGGGTATTTGATCTTGTAAGCCAGAAGTAGGCAGATTGTCTCCAGGGACTGCTTGCCTCGATCTACGTAGTCTCCCAGGAAGAGATAGTTGGACTCGGGTGGGAATCCACCGTACTCAAACAGCCTTAGGAGGTCTGTGTACTGGCCATGTATATCACCTGTGAGGTATTCAACAACAAGAAACACTGGTGTTTAATAACTGTTTTACAGGCACTTTTGCAATAAATAATTACAATTAAAAGCTTTTCTGGCATTGCCACAAATGCTGAACTGTGTGGCAAGATTGTGAGGCAGTCCAAATGCACAACTTTTACAAGGTATGTATTAAAGCCCCATGTCAAGTGAAAATTTGACATGCTCCGAGTATTCATGTCTCTTCCTCAATTCTCCCATACATCCTGGTAAACTGTGAAGGAATGTAGAGATGGCATTAGATTAAGGGGTATGTGTGTCAAACTTTCATAACTAAAATGGATAATTTCTCTGAAAGGCTCAACTTTTTAATGCAAAAAGATTGTTTGTAAATGTACATGTAATTGTTATAGAAGGCTTGGAGTCAAAGGGTAGTTTACTTTATAACAAATTTTAAAAGTAAATCTGTCATAAGTATTGACCCAGTCGCTACCTCCTCTAACGACCCCCCCCCCAAAAAAAAGTTGGTCTCAGCATATCACAACTCTCCAAATTAGGGCCCCCCAAAAAGATCTGTACATAATACGTGTACAAGCTTCAACCTGCAAATTACATTAATTAACCCTAACAATCCTTAACAAGTCAAGCTTCAACACTAGTAAGGTGTTTGAATTTGTAGAATTAGGTACTGGGAACTTGCTGTGTTGGATTTTGACTAAACAGGTACTGTGGGCCTGCACTTACCCTGTTGAATTTTGACTGAATGGGTACTGTGGACCTCTATCTTTATACCATCAGGAATTTTAAATGAGGAGAGATGATCTGCAATTTTCTGAGTACTGTAATTTTTTAAAGATAATGTAATGATAGAAAGCTTCCTATTGAAATGGTATGTATTATGTAATATTATGTAATATTATGTAATAATTACCATGAGGACAATCTTCCTTGTTTCTGACAATAATGATCCTAGCAGTTGAGGATGGATATGCAACTTGATGGTGTGTGGGTTTGTTTGATTAGATACTGCCTGTCCACACTCTTTGTACTGTGCAATGGGCCTGCAGTACCCAGTCAAACAAAATTACACAGCTAAAGACCTGTTGGAGACTGTGTGATTGGGTACTGCAAAGTAGGAGTTTGATTTCAAGATGATGGAGTTTGAGTGATTAGGGAGAGATACCACCAACAGTTCTTGGGCAGTTAGGGTTAATACGTGTATCTGCATGAACATGTTCACATAGGATTGTCATTCCCTTCCTATGTACCCCATAAATATCCATTCTTAAAAGCACAAAGGAAATTTAAACCAGTAACTGTGGTAACACTTCAAGTAAAAGCAAAACAAGTTTCACGTTGACGATTTTCATTTTCAACCTAGAACGTACATGTATAGGCCCGAGGAAAAGAATGATAAAACTGCAGTCATCAACTGAATACAAAACAAAACATGCCTACACTCTTATTAGATCTGAAAAACGTCTTTCTTTCCTTTTCAGAAACTCTTCACTACTGACTGTGCTACATCCTGTTCATCCCAAATGTACGAGCATGATGCAATGAAAAGCTTATTCACTATGTTAACCCAGACACATCATGGTACACGCAAGTGTGCATATTCCACTCATGAAAAACATTGAAACCCGTGTGGTATGTGTGCCCGCCACTGGCATGCATGTAGTGTACTCACCAAGTGCTACTTACAAACAAGGAAGTATAGGATTACATGCATTTCCTCATCTCTGACTAAACTTCAATTGCACCAAAAACATGCCTGCCAATTAACACCAACATCAAGAAACAGTTGCTTTTCCGGTTCTTTTTCATGGCTGCGTTTACAGAGCATTTTAATTCACATTACAATCACGGAAAAGAGAGTTTAGATCTTTTTATGTTTCGAAGTGAAAGTAAGTATTTGAGATACATAAATCGCGACACAAAAATTGCCCCTTCCCTTCTTCCAACTGTGATACTTCTCTGACAGATGTTTCCTCACAAAGAAAGACATGTTTGCTGATCAAAAAATCACACATCGGTTTGGTCTGTTTTCACAACACAGCTGTTCCATTCTTGTGAGTTTTATCCCACAGAACAAGCATAAATGGGCAAATTGAAAGAGCACTATGACTCCAAGGGTGGCCCTACACTGCAATATAGGGGGCCTATCTACAAGCCAGAGGCACATGTATGGAACAGAGAATGTGATTCATACATGTATGTAGGGGGAGTGACCTACAATAACACCTTACAGATCATGTTGATCCTGTCCACCCACACACAGGTTTCCCCAACTAGACATAACAGCCTATTTGTGAGTGAAATTGCATCAGTCGAAATTCACAACACCTGCAATAAACCAACAATGGGGTACACACTAGCGCAGATACACCCACAAAAGTTATGACTAAACTGTATGCATGGGCTCAAAATAGCCCTTGATTATTTTGGAGGTCGGCAGACCTCCCTGGTGACAAAGCATATACAGAGTGTACCCACACCGTCACCGTCATCAGCCTTATCTCCCTCTTGCTCTAAACTTTTTAACTACAGTGTAATACATGTATTTTCCACTGCACAATGCTGAATCTTCCTCAATCGATAATTATGAAGTAAAACAAATGCATATTCTGTGCACTTAGATTTGATAGACCAATCCCATGACAGATACCTACATGTACATCAACATTATATAATTGTACATGTGAATGGATCCCTCAATGCAGAAATACATACATGTACCAGTGTTGTAGTCGAGACCAATTAAGACCTTCACAAGACCAACACAAGACCTCCAGTCTGAATTCCAGTCATAAGCTATTCAAATGAACTGCAAAAGAATTCCTTTGTCATTGTTCACACTGTTGCTTATGGCTGGTCTTGTGCATGGTCTTGTGTCTGGTCTTGTGATGGTCTCGGCTACAACACTGACATGTACATACACTTCCAAATGCTGGCATTCTTTTCAATGAAACCTTCTTATATTGAGCTTTTCCATTTACTGTCCAAGTGTTACACAATTCATTTCCATCATCTGTGGACCCTAATATTAATATTTTGCAAAACTGAACAGCGACCTGTGATGAGTAGAATTCTAATTTCTACTGGTCCCTCTTTCACAACAAACCTGAACCCTCTTGAACTGCAAGTAGCTGCCTGTCCTAACCTGACATTAGCCAAGGTAGGCCTTGATAAGTGTTCCTCTGTGCACTGACAATCACAGAGGAAGGATTCCTCTTTAGAAGGAGTAACAGTCCTTTAACCCCACTGAACCAAGAATGTTACACCAGTAAATATGTTTCTTACAGCTGATATAACTGGACCTTCAAATTTACTTCTTCAGATGTAAGTGCACTCTGACAACTGTGGTGAAACTTTCATCACAAATACATATTTATGCATGTCCAAGTTTTTCCTATTCCTTCTAGGCTTGATATTCTTTATTGTCAAGGCTTGCATCCCTTTAACTGCCGTTAAATACTACAAGATTCAACAGATCCAAATACCACTGAGGGTTATGGCGTACGTGTACAAAACCAGAAGTGAAACAATATCTTGACACAAACAACTCCACAACCACTACGATGTTGATCCCTCGAAATCACTTTCCTGTCCAATCCACTTCCACTTCCAGCCAATTTTTGCCGTCAAAAGTGAAACCCCCCCCCATGCAGGACGCAAAGCACTCCCTACCCTTTCCCTTTCCACAATGACATCATTCCTTTTGAGGACCCTGAAACACTCACCACATATTTTGAGGGGGGCCTCCAACTCCAAGAGGATGGGTTGACTCAGGAACAGTTCCCTGGACTTGAGGCACAGGCCCCTGACTTCTGCTTCCGTCAAGTTGACGGTCTTGCCTGGCCTGCAGCCCCGTACTGTGCAGCAAAGGAAACAAAGAATGGTTTCAGGGTTACTGACCGGGAAGGGGGGGGCTGGTGTTACCAGATAATTTATGCAGAACCAGAGGGACTTGACTTTGAGTGTATAACACAGGCATGTGAATGGGCACGAAAAAAAAAACCTGAAAACTATTTGTGATGAAATTTAACAGGGGGAGACTACTGCGAGCGTGGAGCACAAAGCCCTAACGGCGTGGGGTCTGGGGCCTACTTAAGGGCTGCGAGAAAATTTTGGATTGTAGATGCTCTGTGATGCAATATGAGGCAATTCATGGCCCTTTTGCCTCTAAGTAATTGAAGCAAAATCTTCTCAATAGTAATGATATTTCTCATTTAAAAAAAAAATTTACTCTTAATTTTTTTATTAATTGGACTCGTAAAACCTGAAATGACCATTTAAATATGATTTGCTGCTATCTTCCTTCTTTTTGCAGCTAGGCGTTCCAGTGCTTTCTACCGAGCCCTCTTCCTATCATGGAAGTGTTCGCAGTGTTTATCATACTTAGGTGCATGCTGTATCAATGCTTTAGCCCCGGAAGTACCGTACTTGATACGAACACCACTCGCACCATGCTTCTCCAGGATTGTAAAGCTTGCGAAAGCAGTCGCCCACCATATGCTCATCTTCCGTTTTAGCCAGTAACAATTTGTCGCACCATGACCAATTGCACTTGTTTTTTACTTATTTGTCAATCTCTTTCGGATCGGCAGCTCCGCGCTCAACGTACTTCTTTCCTTCCGCCATGATTTTAATTTTTTCTCGACTCTATGTGAACCTGTATACATACACACGTACATATCAATTTCCAAAAGCCAGTTCGCACATGGCCATGCAGCAGCGCTGCCACGAATTTATGTCTCTATGAAACAAGGACCCATTGGGAGTAATGCGTATGCATACGCATGATAATTGGGAGAATGACCGGTCATGTGAGAGGAATTAACCAATAACGGGTAAGAGTCTGATTTTTACTGGAGTCGGATTTTCATGTGACACCGGGTAAAAGCAAAACAAGTTTCACATTGACGATTTTCATTTTCAACCTAGTACGTACATGTATAGGCCCGAGGAAAAGAATGATAAAACTGCAGTCATCAACTGAATACAAAACAAAACATGCCTACACTCTTATTAGATCTGAAAAACGTCTTTCTTTCCTTTTCAGAAACTCTTCACTACTGACTGTGCTACATCCTGTTCATCCCAAATGTACGAGCATGATGCAATGAAAAGCTTATTCACTATATTAACCCAGACACATCATGGTACACGCAAGTGTGCATATTCCACTCATGAAGAACATTGAAACCAGTGTGGTATGTGTGCCCGCCACTGGCATGCATGTAGTGTACTCCCGATCGTGAAGTGGCTTTAAGGCAAAGCACTAGCAACTGCACTTGTCACTGGTTCCCTCCTTTGGCTACATAGAGAGAATTTAGGTTTGTGGGAATCCGCAAAATGCATTCTTCATTTCCTATGTACACTGTACATTTCGAAGGGTATTGCTTATACTGTCCCAAAGCGACATGTGAATCGAATTGTTTCAACATACAAATTTCACTGGGAATTAGAGAAATTTTGCACACCGCGTAGTCAACCAACATTTACCCCCCTTACAACTCCCCCTCCTCCCAAAAAATTTTTATTCCATTTTTACACTGAACTCGAAGACCACAAATTTGAAGGGACAGAAAAATGGAATTCTGGTTAAACAGGAAAGATTCCTATGCCTGATAACAGAATATTCCAATGTGAAATGTTATTGTGTTTAAGCACTACTCTGGCATGAACCAGGAAGGCCAACTTGCCAAGAGAGAAATGAGGAAATTCCAAGCTTCATAAATCAATATTTGCCATGCATTGAAAAATACAAGTTGCAAAAGATTTACTGCTTTCAAGTGCATTTCCATGGCAAAATATCAATGTCTAAAATGGCCTACATGGCATCTGTAACACACCCAACTACCCCTCTGGCTGAAGACCCATGATGTACTATTCTAAAATTTCCATCTGTACAGAGTTCCAACGTAAACTTGCAGACTCTAGGTACAAATTGAAGCATTATTACTGAGCCATGTACAAGAACAACATCTACATTATTTTGTAGAGTTCAGAATGAAACTTCCCAGTTTTTAAATGCATGAAAGATACTGCCATCACCATCACTAACATCTTTCCACCTCTTCCTCTTGGTTGTTCAGCCATAAGTTCCTAAAAACACCAGAGCTTAATGGTTTCCCCTCTCTCTCTCTGTACTATGATCATTCTTCATATGAAACACAGTGCAATTTTTGTCCATGTCTGTACTAACAAAGATGATAGTGTCACAGTGTCACATGAAAATCTTAACTTCTGCAGTCGGAACAGAGCTCCATCATGTCTATGTATTTGTTCCTACAGGAAGCACACTTGGGTTTAAAAATGTTTTTAAAAATTCCTTTTGCAATTGCTATTTTCTTTCAAGGAAACCTTGAGGTTTACATACCGGTAACTGTCCCTTCCCAAACAACAAGAATTTGAAATTTGATAATACAAGAGTAATCTGACGCAGTTCCCAAAGGGGACGGGAAGGATTCCACACATGGACATCATTCATTTTCCCTGCAATGATATATCAGCTTTCAGAAACATGTCTTCCAAAGTTGAGATCTTGGCTTAGAAAACACTTTGGACCAGTATCTTACTTCTTAGGGATTTGTGCACAGGGTGTAAAGTTGATGTCAATGTTTAGAATTCTTTCCCCAAAAGGATTCAACTCTTTCAGAAAATGCTATCCCAATTTTTTTTTTTTTTAGATACAGCAGGACAATCATTCTACCACATGCTCTATTAAAAAAGGCCATTTGTAGGGTCCACGTTACTCGGACTATTTAGTGTCATAAATCTGAGTATCCCCAGAACTGTGGGGTCCAACGTCCACCCCATATTTCTGGGGGTAAACAAAGCCCGGGTAGACAGGGCAGAATGTGAAATCATTATTTAGGCTAGGCCAACTTAAAATAAAACACTAGAAAAACATTCATGTCAGTTTCACAAGGATTGTAGGCAGGGTGCCAAGTGATGTCCGCGTAACTCTTTCTGATCTTAGAACTTAAGTCAGAGGGCAGATAAAACATATCAAATGTTGCTTGGTAACTTCACCGTTAAAACCGTCTGAGGCGCACAATCACAGAATCGGACGCACATGACGCATGCAGGTCGGAATTACGCTCAAAAGTTAGGCCTAGGCCTACATGTCAAATAAAACACACCGTCCAACGTCTAAATGGCGGGTATGACCGGGCAAAAATCATAGAATATAAATCTGTTGGTTCCCTTAGCCAACACTATATAACACTGATTCAAAACTTAGAAAAATAGCACAAAATTCACCTTCCAGAAGACGGGTGATGATGCTATCGATATTCAGTTCGCCGTCCGCCATTTTGAGAGACAGAATGACGTCAGAAGCGGAACTTCTTCCTTAAATGGCAAAAAAGTTAACGCAGCATACGTCGTAGGTGGCGCTATTGGGGCTCCTCCAGCAAAGGGAAGGCCCACTACAGAACGGCTTTTGGTATACTCACTGTAACTTCAGGCATAACCAACGAAGATCGTATAGCGATCGTGTAGCGCCGCGATCTTTGGGCATAACTGAATCGGGTGCTCGAACTACACGAAGACAGTTTTTTCGGGGGGGGGCGTAAACCGGTGAAAAGTTTTGGGAATGCACTAATAATTTTAGTGCATTTACAGAAATCGTAAGCAATGAGGCAATGGATCTCAGTATATGGACTAATTTTCTGTGACCAGTGACCACAACCTTCAGGAGATTTTTTGCTTATTTTCTGAACCACATATTTTTGTGACCGCCCTGACAGATGCTTCAGTTCCCAAGCTAAATACTGAGAGGAAAAGAGTAAGCCGCGGTAGGCATGATGGAGTACGGGACGATGGATTCGCTTCCTTCCTGTTGGAGAATACGATTTGGGGTGAACCTCTTCCAGTCACTTTTGCTGAAAGTTTCAGGATGTACGTTCCACTTTCGTGACAAGCAGTTATGTGACTGGGGTAATTTACCGAGGGCCACCCGGGAGTGGCTGCATTTTGTTAGGGGGGCACAGAAACTTTGTTAGCCACATTTCATGCCTGGAGAACTTCAATGAACATTCTTCAACCCGCGCTGAAAACGGAACGCACTGAACGGAAAAACGCTTTCAGTCCTTACTAGTATACTCGAAGGGGGCTTGAAGATCTTGGGCTACATTTATGTCAGCTCACCTTCCTGTATTTTCCAGACCTGTTATAGCTAGCCTCAAGGCCCCTGCCCTAGGCAACAGGTTCAGATGCAGCCTAAGCTGACTGTACGGAGGCCCATGATCTCCACACTGCAGCCAATAATTCATTCTCTTCTCTCTCTTCTCCTCTTTGACCAAGTATGTTTGCAGGACTTTCGGCTAATCCGGCCAGCAGAGAGGTCTTCTTCAGATGCACATGCAGGTAGTACTTCCAGAACTGTCTGTAAGGCGCTCTGGAAGTACACAAGGAGCTGCTTTGAACTTTCTGACCTTCTTGTTTAACACAAAATCGTTCCAGTACCCAATATCCTACGGAGGCATTTTGGGTCAGAGGTGTAAAACATTTTCTTGACTGGTCTTGAGTTGCCAAGTTCGTAGACTCATTATAAATTCACCCTTCATATCACTTCGGCTCTCATCGTTTGACCGATTATCGTTATTTAACATTCACCTAAGGACTGCTAAGAGCACTTTTCACTGAGCATCGTCGACTAAAAAGTAAAAAATAAATTGCCGCCAGCATCCAAAAAGATTGTACATTTCGTGAAACAAGGCACGCCCAATTTTTATGAACTTGGTTTCAATTTTGGCGTGCACCCGTCATTGGGGGTAAAATAAAACAAAGAAAACAAAAAATCATGGGAAAAAAGGGTCGGTGCACCCAAAAATGAAGAGCTGCAATATCGAAGAAAACGCATGGGAAAGGGAAGATTCAAAACAAATATTTTGTTATGACTAAAACTGAAAGTGGCTGATTTCATGGTGGTGAGGCTGTGAGTGGCAATTTGTAAAGCTTTTCGTCTGCAGCACGTACTACCATCTGCTCCAGAAAGGGTGAACGTCTTCAAGACCGGCTAAAATGTCTGGACGTGTTAGGTTTGTTGCTTTTCAGCACCCCCTGGGTAAATTGCAGAAGAGTACTGATGATGAAATGGACAAAATACCGTTAGTAGCTTCTCACTTTGGAGAGGTCGAGCGAGGACTTTTGACTTTTTTCCTGCTTTGTGTTGTTGGATTGTTATTCAAATTCACTCCATGTGTATCATAATCACGTCGCTGTTGCGTATAGCAAAATATACATGAGCATGAAATACGTGCTTCGGCGACAAACCTTGGTTACTAATACAGTTGACCACAGAATAGGCTCGGTGTCCGATTTTATTCCCAAAAGGAAATTTGCCGCTCACTTATCAAGAGGGTTCGTATTACTTTGTAGTTGTTTTTATCATATAGAGGATTAAGAAATTTTTTATCATGAGAAAATTGCATTTGCTTTTGTCTAAACGGCCCACCTTAGGCCTAGGTAGTTTTACCAGCCAATGGTAAGCAGAACTACGAATGTAGAAAAAGCGGAAAGGTGACACAATTATCAAATGTTTGCTCGGCAACCAGAAAAGTTGGAAATGGTGGTGAGAGATACTGTATGGCACGCGATGGAACATTTATGATAAAGTATTAATGAAAGATATCTTCATTTCGTTCTTTCATTGTTAGAATGAAAGAGGCACCCGACGAGGCTTATGTGTACTCTAAGCAACTTGTTGAAACAATAATTGGAACGAGACTCAAACAGATGATTGGCAGACATCTTTTCTAGATTTGTCTCATAGTAACTTGAAATACATGTAGTCTTACAACACTTCTTTGAAGCATATAAAATATGTTTTAATTAATGGAAAAGGCAGAACTCAAAATAGTTCGAGCATCAAAGTCATCTGCATCACATTAATTAAAAGTTTCAACAGACCAGGAAATATTTCAAATATCTCAGTCACTGTAACAGACAAGATAAATATTAATAAAACCAACAGGGGCATGAGCTAATGCCTTAATGGCATTTTCCTTTGATCACTTAATCTCCCTTGGAAGACATAACTCGGGCAGATTGTCAGAGTGCTATTTGAAGGAGGTTGGGGAAAGTAAAGGGTCTTGGCTTGATAAATGGGCTGCAATGATCTGTCTCTATATATCTCCCTACCCTGAGCACCATTTTTGTGTGTGAGAAAAAGGGAGCAATTCTTAAGACATCTTCACCAAACAAACTGGCTTGGAATCAGTTGTGGGAAGGGGAGGCAGGGGGAAAGCTGCATCCCCAACACACTGCCAATTTTATTTTTGATTTTACTTAGGAACTGATGGCGCCAACAATTTAGAAATGGTAAGGTCACCTGTCTTGGGGGACAAAGCATTCTGCATGAATGAAAAAAATGTGAACCGTCGTTTGGGGAAACAACATGGCTTTGCCCCCCCCCTGGACCTGAAACCTGGACACAACGCTGAGGGAAGTTTATCAATTTCATAGGCATTACCAGTGAGACAACTGCAGGTTACATGTACATGTATCTAAATAGTCCTTGACAATGCTCCGTGCACATATTCCATGCACTACCTAACAGCATCAAAGTATTGAAGGGATAGCACTTAAGAAACCAACATAAGGATTGAAAGAAGATAAAAGCTTAGGGTACTTCATCAGATGCACTGAAGAGGGACAGACTAAGTCTTAAACCTGCTATCCCTTCAGTGTTTTGATGTTTGACTAATACAGCCACATGCATCAATTTTTTCTGTACAACAAGCGCGGAGGGAATAATTTTGTTTCCTGCAACAATCCCTTTCGTGAAAGAACAGGAAGTGTTACGATGGAGCACAGGGAAAATGATGAAAATGAAATTAAAACATGATCTGAACTCGCAGGTCATCAATGTGCAAAGGGGTCTGAGATCAACGCAGTGTACATGTATTCTGTATCAAGGGGCAAGTGTGGGTGATGACTATTTTTGCCTGGTACCCACGATACATTCTGTGCAAAGGGAAAATCAACCTGTCGTCGACAAACAGCTCTCCCTCGTACTTGCCCCATAAATCGCGTAAAAAGTGCAGTCACAAAACTCACATGCCCAAAGTTCTCCTCCCTGCTTGTATCCCGGAAATAATGCCCAGCTTCCAGTCTCTTTGACCAAGATATTGTAACAATCTTCCCAAAAAAAACCATCAAATGCCAATTCCTTAAAAAGCTGGAGGCAATTTTTTCTGAGTTCACTTTGAATACTGAATAGAATGCTGGAGAAATGGGCCTGAAAACAAGATGGCATTGTACATACAGCAAACCTTTGAATAAGATAAAAATCTCCGTATTTGGAGGGGGGGAAACAGTATAATAAAGATGTTCAAACATTCGCGCAAGGACTCAGACTCAAGTTCAAGTCTTGACACCTTTCGCAAACATCTGTATAGTTTGCACATAAGTGGACAAACATGATAGTCCTTATGAGAAGAGTGGACACAAGTACAAAAGATGTCCACAGACTCTGCAAATTGCAGGCAGTGAGGACATTGTGTGTCCCCAGAGCATTAAGACAAGCAGGTTCTGCTCATTCAACTTTCTCCATCAAAATAGCCTTGGTACAGAGACTGAATTCCAACTTTATTACCTAAACTTAGGAACTCAGAGGACTAATTTTTCACAGCTTGTGTCCATTGTCCATAAAAATAATGCACTTGTAATTCAAAAAATTTTGCTGTTTAGCTGATGCTCAGTTGTTTCAAAGGCTGAATTTGCTGTTCTATTAATCCTCCTTTGGTTTTACA